CGACACCCTTTCCTTCTTTTTTTTTTTTCTTTTCCTTTTTTTTTTTCCCCATTACAGGATCGCACCATGCAGGAGGTAATTGCAGATAGAGGAAAATAACATCGAGTTTGTTACTGCCGACTGTGACTACAGTCTGTTTAAACGCTTTGTGTTTAATGTTTTTTTATTAGAACAAGATCAAAAAAAAAAAAAAAACAAACAAAAACACAGAATCACTAAAAAAAAGTGAAAAAAAAGAAAAACCAGGATAAAACATCTTAAAACCCTTAAAAAAAAATTCCATTGTTTTCTTATTTCCTGCAAAAATATCGTTAATTTTTTTTCCCCACCCTTTCCTTCTTTTTTTTTTTTTCTTTTCCTTTTTTTTTTTCACCATTACAGGATCGCACCATGCAGGAGGTAATAGCAGATAGAGGAAAATAACATCGAGTTTGTTACTGCCGACTGTGACTACAGTCTGTTTAAACGCTCTGTGTTTAATGTTTTCTTATCAGGGACATTGTCAAATTAGCTGCATCTAAGATCTCCGCAAACTACGTTTTATAAAACTCCAAAATTTCTATCATTCCATTATTTTAGGCTCCCGTGATGCCATTTCGAATGACATGAAATATCCAGTTCTTCTTATGGAAAGCGTCCAGAAAATAACAGAAGGATTTGAAATTCTTCTTACCGACAAAGACAAGAAGAAAATGGCAGGATACATGCATAAACTTGGATTTGAAGACATCGCAGCCATGTTTTACAAGCTGAATCCAGAAACTGACAGAAAGGTTAGTAATCAAGTGTCTAATGCAGTTTTACTCCCAGTAAATAAGGATTGAAAAACGAAAAATGCCATGGAGAAATACCGGTCAAATAGGTTTCATTTTAAAGGTCACTCAGAGATTTCCGCTTCCGCTATTCCAATATTGAGTTCCTGCGAGAATATACTGAATTTTACAACAAAAGCATTCCATTAAAGTTCAGTCGAGGAAAAAGCCTGAAAACTGCGTAACCCTTGGCTCACAGCTGGACTCTTGAAATCCATTAAAACCAAATCTAGACTTTATCAATTATTCTTAAAAGATCTTCTCATGAGCGTGAATCCAACTACAAGAAATTTAAAAAGAAATTAATTTGTCTCATTCGTGTAGTTAGGAGAAATTATTATAACAAATAATTAGACCTAGCTAGATCTAACTTAAAGCAAACTTGGAAAATTCTTAAACCATATCCTGCAAGCTTCTTCAAAAACGGAGTGAAAATCAGTAATCCTATTGGCATTGCAAATAACTTCTTTAGTTATTTTATCAACATCGGGCCAAATTTGTCAAGTAAAATCTCGCCCAGATATTCATCGCCCAGCGATTTCTTGTGCCGCTCTCTTTCTGAATCCATTTCGCTGCAACCACTAACGGTCGACGACGGTTAAATCATTTAGCGCTGACAAGGCTACTGGATATGATAATATATTCATGGACATAATTCACCAGTCTCTTCAAAAAATTGTTCAACCTCTTGTATTGATAATGAACCTTTCTTTGTCTACTGGTGTGTTTCCTGGATCCCTCAAAATCGCTAAAGTAATTCTGGTTTTTAAGGCACATGATCCAACACTTTTTAGCAACTACAGACCAATATCAATTCTTCGAGCTTTTTCAAAACTTTTTTGAGAAAGTCCTGTTTGACCGAATGACTGAATTTTTTTTAAACTTGCATAATATTTAAAACTCGAAACAATTGGGATTCCGTAATAATCATGCGACTGCATTAGCTTTAATCGATTTAATGAGCGATATATCTTCAGCTATCGACAGAAATGAATCAACTTAGGCATATTCTAAGACCTATCTAAGGCGTTTGATACCATCAATCATAAAATCTTGTGCCACAATCTGCAACACAATGGTATTCGCGATCGGGACACTGCTTTGTCGTGGATCAAAAGCTATCTTGAGGATCGGACTCAATTTGTCCAGTTTGGATCCCATCGATCTTACTATAGGAAAATTTCATGTGGCGTCCCACAGGGCTCAATCCTTGGACCTCTTCCTAATGTCTCTAGCCTGACTCAATCTTTACTGTTTGCTGATGAGACAAATATATTTTGTTCCCATAGGGATACCGACCACCTTGTTTCTATTGTTAACAATGAACTTGCAAAATTGTTACTTGGCGAATAAGCTATCTCTCTATTCGACCAAAACGAACGTTATAATTTTTCGTCCAAGGCAAAAGAAAATTAATGTTAATGTTCCTCTTGTTATGGAAATACTGTAATCAGGTCGTAGGAACTAAATTCTTAAGTGTTATTATTGATCAGCACCTTTCCTGGAAATCTCATATTACTTTTGTTTCTTAAAAGATCTCGAAAACTGTGGGGATCACTGCGAGAGCTCGCTTTTATCTATCATCCGAAACGTTGCTCACCTTATATTACTCTCTAGTATATCCCTACCTAACATACTGTAATGTTACCTGGTCCTCCACCTACTGCTCTAATCTAAGCAGTATTTACCTTTTGCAAAAGTACATAGCGCGGCTTACAGCAAAAGCTCACTATCTAGCAAATACCGCCTCATTATTTAGCTAACTAAAAGTCCTTGAGATATATAGCATTTATGTATTCCTATCGCCATAATCTTCTGCCTAGTAGCTTTCGTAACCTCTTTTTAAGTAGTTGGTCCTCGATGAAGGTACCTTGTGAGCAGAGGCTACATTTTCGCTGTATGAGCTGGCGTGCAAAAAGTAGCCTCTGCCGACAACTGTTCAATTTTCTATCGTACTTTCATCGAGGACTAACAATGTGGAATTCGAGGCCATTTTCACTAACCAGCTCTTCTTCAATATTTGTTTTATTAAAAAGAATCTGAAAAATTATCTCATTGATAGTCGTTCTGTCGCTTAATAAGTGTTATTATTCATTCAAAATATTTCCCCGATTCTGATCGGCTAAAAGCACACGCATAATTCACCATAACCAGTTACTGATGACCAAATTTTGAAGAATGTTGTTGTGTTTAACGAGGAAATGACGTCAAAAATGCAGCGTTCTTGCAGGTTAATGCACCGTTAACCGAGAAGACCTGGGGACGAGGTTGAGTTGATTTGGTTGCGAAAACAAAAACTGGCGGACATTTCACTTGTTTCAAGAGTAAGAACTAGGCGAAATTATAGCTAAATACATGGCAAGAACAACAAGAACACAACTCGAAGGGCGACATCTGCTATTTGGAGAATATTTGTGGCGCTGGACAAACCTAAACGTGCACTATCGAAGGTGAACT